GGCCGCCGCTCCCACGTAGTCTCCAGGATCCAGAAATGGTGGGGCGGCGGTGCCTGCCCCCTCTCAGGGGCGAACTGCAATGCTGCGTAATACTTGCCGTCCTTGTCGTCATGGCGAGGCCTGTGCTTGTTGCGTATCATCGTGCCACTTCTACGAGCACCCTCAGCTCTACCAGAATGGCGTGAGCAAAGCCGTCGACGAAGTCTCCTCGTGCGCATCAGAGCCCACATGCCAAAAGCCCCGCCGAAGGTGTAAGACGTGATGGTCGAGGGCACGCGTGGCCTGAAAGTGGCGCAGCGGTATCCACTGCCTGCCGACGGCAGCAAACATCTTGAGTCACGACCTGGCTACGGGAGGGGGCCCAGACGAGATAGGTAAAGAGGGGGCGACCGAAGACAATGGGTTGTGAATGTGCATCCACTTTCCTCCTCGCCGCTTGCTCCTCCTCAGCCTCCTACGGCGACTCCGCTCCCTCGTCCTTCTCGTGTTTCCCACTTGTTGTGCATCGCCTCCTGCTCTGCTGGAGTCGCCATTCAGAAAAAAATCGAGGCTGGCCCCATTCCTACCCTACGCCGCGCAAGCACCGTACTGAAACCAATACATGCCACCAGCGGTAGGTGGCGGCACGGCGAGCGAGATTCCCATCACTTGCAGTCGCCCGCCCTTCTCTCCCTTCCCCGTCTTGTCCCTCCTCGTCCTCCTCCTCCTCCTCCTTCTCATCCTCCTCCGTATCCCCATCCCACCGTCTCTTCCCACTCTCATTCCCCCTCTCCCTCCTCCTGCTCGATCTCCTCATCTTCCCCCGCCCCGTCCCCATCCTACTCCACCTTCTCTCCCTGCCCCCTTTCTGCCCTCATCCCCTTCGTCCCCCGCCCATCCCTCATTTCCCCCTCCGCCAACCTCGAGGAGGACGAAAGGAAGAGGGGGAGGAAGGAGGGCGAAGGCTGATAGATACAGAGGGGGCCAGGGACACACAAATAAATAGACACAACTAATAGGATTCCCATGCATTGTTCTGTACTTTGTGGATTGCCGTGTTCCCCTCCACTTCCCACATGCTTTTATATGTCCTGGGGATCGGCGATTACCCCCCCTCCTGAAGGGAGGGCTGCGGAAGGAGGATGAGGAGAGGGAGGCAGGGAGGGGGAGGGCGGAGGAGGGGAGGACAGCCCCTGGTCCCCCCCCCCCTGTGCGGCACGCCTTGGGGGACGGCCTAACCTGCCCTCCGCGAGGGGGGGTCAGTGCTAAGAGCATGTCCTTGGTGAGCGCCCACGAGGTGCAGCCATACATGACAGTAGGCGTCACCGTACCATTGAAAAGTCTTAGCCTGCTATGGAGAGGATATCGGCTGCTTGTTAGTTCGTCGTGGAATTTGTTGAACGCGCCCCATCCCATTGCAATTCGGTTGGAAAGCTCAGATTGGTGGTAGTCGTGGAAGGTCAGCTTCCGTCCCAAATACTTGGTGGTCTCTCCGGCTCTGAGGATTGCAATCACGTCGCCGTCGATGTCGGCATGACTCGTCGTTTGCCCGTGCCCCCTGCTGACGTTCGTAAGGATATTGGTCTTGCCAGGGTGCAACTCAAGCCCGCACTTCGCAGCTGTGCGTTTGAGGTCATGCAGAATGCACTTGAGTTGGCGCAGATTTGTCGCGAGCAATAAGACATCATCAGCAAATCGTAGATTAGTAAGAAGCGTGAGCTTTGTGTGCCCCAGCTGTATACCAAATCCCTTTCTTTCCCAAGTTGGTTTGCAATGACGGAACACGTACTCCAGCAGGGCGTTGAAGAGGTAAGAGCTGAGTGGGTCGCCTTGTTTGACACCGCGTTCTATGCTGAAGCTCCTGCTGCTGACGTCTGTCTTCACAGTGGCCACCTGCCCGCTGTAGAACTTCCGTAGTAGGGTGATGTACGGTGTCGGCACGTTCTGCTCCTGCAAAGCTGTCCAAAGGCAATCGTGGTCCAAAGGCAATCGGGGTGGAAGGGGGGGATGCGCGAAGACAGGGGGCAATCTGGAAGGGGCTCGGGGTTTCTACGTGAGAGGGCGGGAGGGGTCCTCAGAACCCCTCCCCCGCCATCTTGTAAGGCCGCCCTCCTCGACACACTCCTTTCTGGGCTCCAGCACCCCCTCCCTCATCGACGACCTCTGCATTAGGGCGTGAACAGGGGAACCAAGTATGGATTCAAATTGCTATCTTTGTATTAACGCTTTCCCATTATTCTCAATTCGCGAGGATGCCCCTCCAACAATCAGCGTGGAAACTCTGGGAGCCTCATCAAGAACACTATGGCTGGTTCTAGAACCCATGAGCCCAACAATGTTGACAACCTGTTGGTATACATCCTCTACTTCCTCCGAACTTCCTTTTGCCAGCGGAGGCGGCTTCGAATTTACCTACACCGGCTTCCGCCGAGCGAGAGAAATCAGTTGCGTGATCTCTCGAAGGTAAAGACCTCTCCGGAGCGTCTCATATCCATACGGCAAGGCCGCGTCGTGAAGATGTCGGGGCTGGGATCTGACACCGCGTGGATCGTTCAACCTGAAATTGTCGCGGATCCCCGATAAGGCAGACCTGCGAAGCTCCGATGCGCAACACGCAACACGTAACCCCGGGAAGCAAACAGTCACCCCCCCCGCGATATCGTTAGCACAGAAAATAAAATGAATAATTATTTTGGGCGGCGCCCTCCGGCGATATCCTTAGCACATAAAAAAAATAAAATCACTAATTATTTTGCCCCCCCCCCCGGGCCTGAAGCTGGCGGCAACGTGAGGCGACAGCCTGAAGAACCAATGCGCACGAACGCTTGCCAATGGGTTCCCGCCTTGCTAGAAAACTGGGAAACTGACGCGCATAGGAAATCAAAGGTAAATCAAAAATGACAAACAATGAAATCACCGCAAGCAGCTATACTTGAAAGGACCCCCCAAAGGAATCCCAGAGGAATCTCCGAAGGAAGCCCACGCAGAATCTCAAAGGAACCCTATTGGAAATTCAAAGTAATCTCAAAGGAACCCCACAGAAATCGCAAAGGCATCTCAGCGGCAGCTCAAACGAACCACGAAGGAATCTAAGGAATCTGGAAAACGCGGGCTCGCGTGGACATAAGCAAACCCTATTGCGACCGCAATCGGGAACTTGTTTTTTGTTTCAGGGGGTAGTATGGGCGAGTCCACGGAGGGATATCGCAGACGGATTCCGCGACCCCCCCCGCGATATGTTAGCACGTTTATTGAAAATAAAATAATCCACAGGCACCGGAGGTCGATGTGATGCTCCCTTCAGGGATTGTCGAAGGAATGTCAGAGGAACTTGAAAGGACCCCCAAAGGAATCCCATAAGAATATCACACAGAACCCCACGCATGATATCAAACGAGCCAATGGAAGTTCAAGGCAATCTCAAAGGAACCCAACAGAAATCGCAAAGGCATCGCAGCGGCAGCTCAAACGAACCACGAAGGAATCTAAAGAATTTGGAAAACGCGGGCTCTCGTGGACATAAGCAATCCCTATTGCGACCGCACTAGGGAAATTGATTATTTCAGGGGATCCTATGGGAGAGTCCACGGAGAGATATCGCAGACGGATTCCGCGACCCCCCCCCGCGATATGTTAGCACATTTATTGAAAAATGAAATAATCCACCGGCCCCGGATGTCGATGTGATGCTCCCTTAAGCAATGGGGCATCAAAGGGATATGACCGTAACCTCAAGGGACCCCCAGAATGACATCAAAGGAACACCAGAGGAGTCTCAAAGGAGCCACAAAAGAATCACAATGGAAACGGCAAGGAATCTCAAAAGAAGCCAATCGGAGTATCAAAAGAATCTCTGAGGAATCTCACAGAAACGCACATAATCACAGGAAGCGACTCTGGGCAGGTGCGCCTTGTCGCTGGGCTCTGGACTACAAGGAGACCGGGCATTCAGAGGCTTGTGGAGGCCTTTCTGGATACCTCCTGGGAACCTCCAGGGACCTCCCCTCCGCGGACCTCTGGTGACCTGCGGGGGATATCGCTTCCGCCCCGGCCCCGGTGCCGGAAGCGTTATAATTTCCTCCGATGAGGGGGGGGGGCGAGGGGGGTTTCCTGATTGCTTACCGGGGTTAGTGTGTTGGCACGGAGCCCAACACGTCTAGGCTGGAAGCGCAGGTCTGGCGCGACACGCTCGACCGAACGCGAGCCAACACGTGGCGAGCCAACACGCAGCGTATTGACATCGACGTTGTGAGCACGGCACATGTTGCGTTTCACAACGGGCGCATCGAGGCCGCTAAGATGCGGACCGCTCGATGTCGGCCGATTCCAGGCCGCCGCCGGCGATCAGCCTGGAACGCCCGCGCGGGGGACGCCGCCGCGTCGACACGAACCTGCCGCACAGCCGGAACGTGGCCACGGGAAAGCGGATCCAGAGCATTGGCCCCTTCGGCGAAGGTCCGAGGCCCCCTCGAGATGCTCCGAATCAAGGGCGCTCGAAGTGGAGACCTCAAACGCGATGAGCACGGAGGTGCCCCTCCTTCAGAGCTGGGGTTGACCCCAGCCCCCGTGCCCGCTGTACAGTGATCGTGCTGGCCACGGTCGGCTTCGAACAGGTTCCCCGACCCATATCTGAAGGAGCGGCCGGCCCGAAAACCAGAGCCCCCCCGTGAGCCAGAAGTACGCTTCGACAAACAAGCACCGACAGAAGCAGAAGGTTTCGGAGGTACTCGCTGATTTGTTGGATCGGCGCTGGACCCCCCTCCCTAGCGGGCGGAGGGAGCTCCAGCGCAGATCCCAGAAATCCGCGCGGACCCCGAAAGCTTACGTTTATGTCATCGTTTGTTCCCCGATGATTTCAACGTCTTGACTGTGCAGACGACGCGCTGCCGCAAGGGACGCTATGCACAAAGAACGAAGGAGCTCCTTACTTCAGTCTTGACCGCATCCCACCTCCTCCTATTGACGACCCCTGCGGGCCCGGGGCTCCTCTCGCCCCCGCCCCGGCGCGTGAGGTCTGGGCCTCAGGCCACCATGCCTGGCATCTGGCCTCGCGGCGCGCCCGCGGAGCACGCACGCGCGCGCGTCGTCTGCGTCGAGGTCGTCGTCGTCGTCGCCCGTCGTCGTCGCCGTCGTCGGTGCCGTCGTTGTCTGAAACAGCGTCGTTGTCAACGTCGTCGACGTCGTCTGCATCGACGCCGCCGGCGCGCGCACGGCGCGCGCTCAGAGCTGTCCGCCCGGCTCGCTCCCTCCGACCTCTGGCGCCACGGGGAGGGCGCAGCCCCGCGGTGGACGACGACGAGACCAGGGTTTCAGAGGGATCGGTGATCCCCAAGTCGCCCAACTTCGCGCACCGCCCCGCGCTGCGCGACGCGCGATGACATCTTCGCGCCCTCGCGCCCCAGCGCCTCCCCCTCGAAGAAGCGCGCCGCGCGAGTGACCTCGCGCCCGAGCTCCAGCCCAGGCCGCGCCACGCGAAGCGCGAGAATCTTCGAGAGCCCGCGGGGAACCTGGGTGATCGTGGGCCTCTGGGAGGCTCCCTGGAGGTCTCGAAGCTCAGCAGGTGTCGGCGTCTTCCATCGTGTGCTTGTCTGCTTCTCTCCTCCTGGCCCTTCGCCGGTCTTCGTTCCCAACCCACCCCCGAAGGTACTCCTGACTGCTTCTCCCAGCGCTTTGACGGGATGCACCTTCAACTCAACGAGGATGGGGATGTCTGCCAGAATTACTACCTTGCCTCGCTGTGTCTCACGGATCGCGACAGATCTGTGTGAAGAGGTCCTCCTGATACCACGATGCAGAACTACTGCACTCCTTGCAGCACCAGCTGTTGTGCCGACGATCTCAGGAACGACATGCTCCGAACGATACCCCCCCTTCGTCCGAACCAGCCTGCTTGACAGACCCCATGGATCATGTTGTTCCCATCGTACTTAAAGGGCCACATCCCCAAACAAATTCGAGCACCCAGAAAAGTATCGAGGCAGGGTCTGTCCGACACGCTGGCAAGGTGTCGAACCAGTATCGTCTCACAGGGCCCGACACAGGAAAACCCTCCAGTCTCGGTGTTTCCTTGGTGCTCGAAATTGTTTCTGGCGGTCAAGGCTCAGGTACCCATGGGCAAAACGCGGCCCCCCTCGGAGGCCGATCTCTGGGATACACCTCCCGGACCCACCAAAGCCGCCACTCCTCCGGAAGCCTGGGGGCGCTGGGGGGAGGGGCGGTCAACGGGCTGGGGGTCAAGGGACAGACAAAAAAAACGATATACAGAAATCCAAGGACTCCCCATGTATTCCATACTTTCTGGATATTCGTCTTCCCCTCCACGTCCCATATCTTCCATATCATCCTGGGAATCGACGATTCTTTGCGTCTGCGTATGTCTTCTCCCCTCTGGATCGGCTCGGGGCCGAGAACGCGCGCCGCTGGTTCGAGAGTCTCACGCATCGCCGCCTGGACTACTGGCGACGCTGCGCTGGCGGCGCCGTGCTGCGTTGAGGCGTTGTTGCCAGGGGCGGCCCACCGTCCGCGCGCAACAGCACGAGCGGTCAGCATCAAATCGGGAAACCGGGTCGAATCGGAGTGAGCGCCGCATCGGGCCGGCTCGGCACGCAATCAGAAGCGATCCGAACTGGCAGCGCCGGGGCGCACGATAGCGCCATGCAGCCACCCAGAACGCATCGGGCCGTCGGAATCGGCATCGGATCGCATCCGGCTGGCCAGAAACCAGCACTGAACCCGATCGGTCGGACCGAACTGATCTTGAGGAACAACCAGCTGCACAAACATGAACTTTCGACCGTCCCCACTGGCGCACGGAGCGCGCCAGGGGCGGCGCTGGAGGCGCCGCCAAGGGGGCCCCACGCCGATGCGAGAAATCCGCGAGAACTGTCGACACTTCATGTTTATGCCGCTTCTTGCTCCTCGATGAGCCTGGGCCCTCCCCCGGCTCCCAACCCGCTTCGGTTGCATCCCGCCGTCGCTCTCGCACGCTGCTCGACTCCTCGCGGCCGCCGACCCGAAAGAAAGATCCACAATGAACCCCGAGCTTGCCGTCGCTCGGACGTCCATTCCCTGCGCATGTTTCGGTTCTGCTCGATGATCCAGGATTCTCCTCGATGGTCCTCCCCGAGAAAGAAAGCACACGTCCGAGCGATGCCAAGCGATTCGCGGCGGCGAGGAAGATCGCGGCGGCAGGGGTGCGTGCGCGCGCGCCTGGCGTGGGCACGGCGCCGGGAGGCGGCGCCTCGGGGGGGGGGGGCGGGCGACAGGGGAGGGGCGTCCCCCCCCCCTGAAGGCTCGCGGCCTCGCGGCGCGGAGGGGCCATTCTACTCCACAGCCGCACCCGTAGAGCATGCTTACGTACATGTATAGATATGTGTACTAATGCCTGGATCTGTATATATATATATATATAGAGAGAGAGAGAGAGATACACACTCTAGGACTATCGCGCGCGTTTCGCGCTCGCTCAGGTTCTGGCCCAGGCCGGAGGGGCGCTGGAAGATCTGGCACAGCGCTATCAAGCACAGGCGTGTGACATAGCCGTGCCTCATAGGGGCCTCTTGGGGATCTCTTCGGTCTTCGTGGGGGCATCTAAAGGGCTTTTGGAGGGATCTCCGTGCTTCCTCAATTGGATGTTGGAGGCACCTGTTGGATGCTCCATGGGGCAGCGTCGTGGGGCATCTTGGGGTCCCTTGGGGGCATCGTCGGGGTTCCCTGGGCAGTTGGAAGGGGATGTTCTGCAATCTGAAGCAATTTTGGCCGTGTTGGCTGCGTGGTGCAGGCCGCCTGGGGCCACATTGAAGCAATCCGGAAGCCTCCCGGGGGCCCCCTAGAAACAATTTTGATGCATCGAGGGCACTGTTGGGCTATCTTGGGGCCCCTTGTACGTCTCCTGGGGGCCGTTGGGGGCCTCTTGGAAAGCTCTTGAGGGGCCTCGTCGGACCACTTGGGGACTCTTGGGGCCTCCTGTGGGCCTCTCAGGGCGGAAAGCTCTGCTGTTGGGCTCGCGTTCCCCTTTTTCGGCCTCTCGTCGGGCCGTCTTGGGTCCCTCTCGGGCCGTCTTGGGCGCCTCAAGCACTGAATTGGGGCCCTCGTTGTCCGCCTTGGGCGCCTCAGGCACCGTGTTGGGGCCCTCGTGGGCCGTCTTGGGGCCCTCTTTGAGGCCTCTTGGGCTATCTTGGAGCGGTCTTGGGGGCCTCTTGGGCCGCCTTGGAGCGTCGGGATGCCGAAAGGCTGAAAACTCTAAACTCCGTGTGAAAAAACGATGGGGAAAACAATGAGTTGTGCCTCTTCGGGCCTTCTTGGGAGGCCTCTTGGAACCTCTACGGGCCTCTGGGGAGCTTCCTGAGGGCCTCTTGGGACCTGTTGGGGTCCTCTTGGGGCCTCCTGAGAGCCTCTCGGGGTGGAAGGCTCGAAATGTTCGGTTCGTCTTGACCCTCTTGGGCCCCTACAGGGGCCGTCTTGGTGCCCTCTCGGGCCGTCTTGGGCGCCTCAGGCACCGCCTTGGGGCCCCCGTGGGCCGTCTTGGGCCCCATTGGAGGCCTCTTGGGCTATCGTGGAGCGGGCTTGGAGGCCTATTGGGACGTCTTGGAGCGTCGGGATGCCGAAAGGCTGAAACCTCGAGGGTTAGTGAAAAACCTGTGGCAAGACAATCATTGTTGCCCCTTGCGGCCTTCGTGGGAGGCCTCTTGGGACTTCTTCAGCCCCCTGGGAAGCTTCTTGGGGCCTCTTGGGACCTGTTGGGGCTTCTCGGGGCCTCTGGTGCCTCTCGGGGTGGAAGGATCGGATTTTCAGTTCGTGTTACCCCTCTTGGCCCACAACGGTTGCGGGAACACATGGTCAGATAGCTTGACAGAGCTCTTGCTACAACGTTCGGCCACATGGGCAATTCTAGAAGGCAGGGGGCGACGGTGATTCGCCGTAGGCGTCTTCGATACTAGAAAACTGCGTGACAGACTGGAGGAGGAACATTGGCGGAGCGCGCAAGGTTGTGCGAGGGAGGCGGTCTTCTGAGAAGGCGGGGGGGCTTTAAGACGGCGGATGGCTTCTTGGAAGCTTCCTAGAAGTATCCAGGCGCTTCGAAAATTGACATTCGCCATCTAGAAGCCCCCCCTCCTTCTTAGAAGGTCCCCCCTCACGCCCCACCCCCACCACGCCTTCGAGCAAGGACCGACCGTCACGGCATTCATATTGGCCTACCACGAAGTATTCTTAAAGCCTCAAGGTGTTCGAAACACAAAGCCCCTGATTTTAAAACATAAAGCCGATGTGTTAGAACAAGGCAGCCTCAGCCGGACATGTTCCAATCACATGTCGTGCAAACTACAAAAGGTTTGTACAACGGTCTGTGGTGGGCCTACAGGCAAGCCAGGATACCTCACCACTGCTTGACACCTCATGCGTTCCGCCAACAGAAGGACAGCGCATGCGGGTGCTTCGGTGTGAAGCGGGGTATCCTTTGGGCCCTCTTTTGCGCAACTGCGGCCTATGGTTGGGAACTTTGGTTTAGCGTGTCGCGGCGTCGGCCCCAGCGACACGCTACGCCTTGCGATTGGATCGCGTGTCGCTCCGCTCCGCGGGCGGGAAACTAGGGAAAACTCGGGACGTGGACGCCTGTGGACCGTGAAGTTGATACAATGTCGCGCCGAAGCGTGGTGGGCCAGAACCGGCGGAGCGACACGCTATCCCAAAGTTCCCAACCATAAGCTGCGGCCGTCGCCATGTCCTTCAAGCTCGCCGCGTCGCCGCGGGACACGATGGGGGCCACCCGCACAGCCTGGAAGACTTGGGAGCCTGCTCGGCCTGAGAAGGCACGGGTGTGCCTTCCTCAGTACGTGGCAGAAGAGAACATTGAAACTCACATGTTCCGCGGGATCAGGGGCACCGAGCCAGCGCATTAATCATGGAAGCACCCTCGTCTCTTAAAACCATCTCAACCGTAATACGCCTCCCTGGAACCGTCCTCCATTCCTTTGCCTCGTAAATAACTCCTCCCTGTCGCACCCCGAGGCCAGCCGGAAGGGCGGCCAGGGCCGTTCGCCTGAGACTGCCTTACCATTTATGATCCCGAAGCTTCAAAAATGGTAAAGGGCGGGTGGTTTTCAAAATGTGGCTCTCGCGTCGGCGCCGCGCACATTCGTCTTGAGTTTCACGGATTGAAGGCGGGCTGTTTTCAAAATGTGGTTGCCGCCATAGCGCCGCGCTCATTGTTTTGGACATTCGCAAGAGCTTCACGGAGTGAGGGCGGCTTCATTTCAACATGCTGGTCTCGCCTTAGTGCCGTGCACATTCGATTTAAACAGTGCAGAAGTTTGACGAAATCCCACGGTTAACGTGCCAGAAGTGCTGTCTTGGAACGACTCTGGATTGCCAAGGCGCAACAGTCATTGGATCTGCGGTGTTAAAGTCCCAGGAATGGCGCTCTAGCAGAGTCCAGATTCGTCAAGACGCAACAAAAACACGCTAACTCGTGGCGTTGGGATCCCGAACGTAGTGTTCTGGATCGCCTAAGGATCTTCAAACGGCTATCTATGTTTCATCCGTGGAAATGAGCCCTCGTAGGGGCATATGAAATGGGAGCTTGGAGGGAGTGCTTTTTCCAACATCGCTGATGAGTCTTGGGCTTGCACTGGTCCTCCTCATTCTCCTCCACCTCTTCCTTCTCCTCCTCCTCCTCCTCCTCCTCCTCCTCCTTTGCCTCCTCCTCCTCCCCGTGGCACGCCCGAAATGGTGACGGAACACATGGGGACGATGCCTCACAGCAAATGTCGTCCAAGCTGACATTAGCCGCTGCTGTGAAAGCGCCTTTCGTCCCAAATGGACAACGTCCGCAGCGGCACCGACAACGAATCCCTGGACCTCCACCTCCGCCTCCTCCTTCACATTCGCTTTCCGGCTCCCGACTACTCCCTCCCTACTACCTCCACCTTCTCCTCCACCCTGCTCACAACCTTCCCCTTCCTTCCGCCCTCGCCGAAGGGCTTCTCTTCGCCCCCTCCTCCTCCCCCCCCTCCTCCTCCTCCTCCGACTGGAGCCTGTATAAAGGCCTGGACGGTTTCATCGTTTTTTTGATAACCACAATTCTCAGCTTTTAATACAGATTCCAAAGAAATCAAAGAAGTCAATTCAAACTACCAGACACATACAAGTTGATAAAAGCTAAAGGCAAGGTTTCGCCTGAGACATCTGTCATAAAGTAATGGTGGAAGGCTGCTTCCTAAGGATATCTCAAGCGAAACCTTGATTATTGGAGAATCCTTTGGATTGCCATTTCTTGGGGAATCCGACGGCCCGAGAAAGTCCGGCGGACAAACAAAAAAAATCCACTGGATATTATAAAAATCAGGGTTTCGCTTGGGACACCCTCCAAACTTTCACTTTTCCTCTATTGGTTGTTGCCCGATGTCTCAAGCGAAACCTTGATTTCCCACAAGGGTAAACCTAAAAATCAAGGTTTCGCCTGGGACTTCTGTCAAAAAGTGATGGTGGAAGTCTACTTTTCTGAGGATGTCTCAAGCGAAACCTTGATTATTCGAGAATCCTTTGGTTTTTAATTTCTGGGGGAATCCGACGGCCCGAGAAAGTCTGGCGAAAAAAAAAAAAATCCGGTGGATTTTCAAAAAAAACAAGGTTTCGCTTGAGACACCCTCCAAACTTTCACTTCTCCCCTATTGTGTTTTGCCCGATGTCTCAGGCGAAACCTTGATTTTTAGATTTAACTATATTGAAAATCAAATCAAGGTTTCGCATGAGACATTGGGCAAAAACCAATAGGGGAAAAGTGAAAGTTTGGAGGATATCTCAAGCGAAACCTAGGTGTTTTTTGAACATCCACTGGATTTTTTTTTTTTTTGCCGGACTTTATCGGGCCGTCGGATTCCTTCAGAAAATGAAAATCCAACGGATTCTCCAATAATCAAAGTTTCGCTTGAGACATCCTCAGAAAACCAGCTTTCCACCATCACTTTTTGCCTGATGTCTCAAGCGAAAACTTTCTTTTTAGATTTAACCTTACTGAAAATCAAGGTTTCGCTTGAGACATATCGGGCAAGAACCAATGGGGAAAAAGTGAAAGTTTGGAGGGTGTCTCAAGCGAAACCTTGGTTTTTTGAAAATCCACCGGATTTTTATTTATTGTTTTTTCGCCGGACTTTCTCGGGCCGTCGGATTCCCTCAGAAAGTGACAATCCAAAGGATTCTCCAATAATCAAAGTTTCGCTTGAGACATCCTCAGAAAACCAG